TTGTCTAAATATGGAGTTTTATAACTGATACTTATTCTTGTTTTTTTAATTGACCACATAATTATTTCATAGTGGATTAGCTTTTTCTGGACTTGGTCCCATGGATGTAGGCAAGTTGGCAAACCATGTAAAAATAAGTTGTGTTTTTTATTTTCTGTTTTGCATGACTTACACATGTTGATGATTCGTTAAACAACTCATTAAGCACTTCTTAAACAAGTTATCACAGTCTGCATAAGTTTTAATCAACATGGTAAGGGTTTAAAACTTTCAATTCCATCTTATTCGTAATTAATATTAAAGAATATTACTAAGCAATGAACATCTAGCACCTCAATTTAGATTTATTATTATAGGAAAATGAACAATAATTGTCGTATTCCAGATATTTTCTAATGTATGAGAACAATAAAACTGTAATAACCAATTGAAATATGAAAATGTCATATACAAATGACCATGCATTAAATGATGGCAACCAAAACAACTCACAAAATCAACAATTTCTCCTAAATAAAACCTGTAATTCCCATTATATTACTAATTCCCCTTGACCCCAATTATCCCCACAGCCTCAATCAATCACCAATCATTTGATTTCAAAGAGTTTTTTGAGTTCAGCATTAAGAATAATCAATAATGGGAGGGTGTGCAAGTGCAAGCAAACCTAAGGAGATTGATTTTGCTACATGTGAGGCTCCTACCATCCCTAAAGCAATCACAACAATAGCCATATTAATAAAGCCCATTTGGTTGATATTTCTGAACCCAAAAACAAAGCTATTGATTTGAACCTAAACCAAAAGCTGAAGTGAAGTTTGAGATTACGGTGGTTGATGATGCGAAACCTGCTTATGCCAGGCCAGCAAAGGCAGAAACTGAGAATAAGTTTATTGAGGAAGCAAATGCTAATCAAAACATTAAAGAAATTGGCAGGAATGTTGAAGGAAATGTAGAGAATGTTAAAGAAAGTGAGAAGAGGATTGAGCTAACAATTGATCAGAAGGCAAGTATTGACGCGGAGCCAGCTTTTGCCAGACAAGCAGTGGAGAAAAAAGATGAAACTACATAAGAAATTGAGAATAATGTTGAGGATGTTGTTGCTCCAAAGATTAGGACTAAAGAAACTAAAACAAGGCTGCTATTGACACTAAACTTATTTTTTCTTAGCCAGTAAAGACAAGTTGAATCCACAAAGGCAAGTGAGAAGAAATCTGAGGCTAAAGAAAATGAGAAAAGGGTGTTGTTGATGTTGAACCGAATTTTTTTTTTGCCAGTAAAGACCAAAGTTGAAGCTACAAAATAAATGGAGAAGAAAGTTGAGTGTTCTAATCCCAAAAAAGGCTAAAGAAAATGAGAAGAAAGGTGCTATTGACGATTAACCTATTTTTTCATGGCCGGCAAAGGCCAAAGTTGAAGCTACTAAAGAAAGTGAGAAGAAAGTTGAGGCTGTTGTAATCACATCAAGGGCTAAAAAAGTGAGAAAAAGGATAAGGGTGTTGCAGAGAAGGCTAAAGAAAATGAGAAAAATGTGGAGAAGGTTGATGGGAAGGCTAAAGCTACTGCAAAAGAAATGGAGAACAAGGTTGAGGCTGCGGTTGTGGGCAAAGTTGACAAATCAGATGAAGTCCCTAAAAAATTAGAGAAATTTGACCAAAAGTGATCTTATCATTTGCCGTTGCATGAAATTTATTAGGTTTAATTTTATGTCTTCTTTTTTTTTATATACAAATTTATGGGATTAATATGTCAAGAATTGTAACAATTGAATTAATTCGTTTTTCTTGACGTATTAGTTGTTTAATTTTATAAAGTGCTATATTTGAATTGTCTATACTTTCTTTTAAACATGCTTATGTCTTTATAATCATGCTTTATTTTCTTTATTTTTCTTAGAAAATTAATATTAATTTAGTAAATTATAAAAAATTCTAAGGTAGGTTATCATTTTAGTTTTAGTTGATCACCCCAATATCACTGATATTAATTTCTTACTTAAATGACGATTTTATAACGAAGGATATATATGTTTTGAGAGAGCATAATAGCAGGCGGGGAGATAAATGTAGAGAAATCAATGCCAAAGCCGCAGTTCATGTATTTCAAGAAGTCTCGGAGTTGATATCGGTTTTGATGATAGTTTCGTTCATGTTCTTGATGAAAGGTTCAAATCTCCTAGCATGGTTCATCGAAGAAAAGAAAAATGAAAAGGATCTTGGGAAGTCAATTAAAGATGTTGTGGTAACCATTGCAATTGAAAAGAGAGATTCATCTAATTGGTTGAGCCACACTATTGGTGAAGAGATCGGTGAGAAGCAAACACGTCTTAGGGAAAAGTTAATGAAGATTGATGGACTTTCGATGATGGAACGACTTAGAGCTACGAATATCATGGGTTGCTTCGTGTTTTTATGGTTTACTGGATGAAGCTAAAGAAACTTGGGTTCCACTTATATTTGTGGGTGGTAATTACTTAATTTTAAAATATGTAGGTTTACGAGACATGATATTATATTTCAGACTTTATTTTATGCTTTAAAATTTTGTTGTGTTTTGAAATTACCTATTGTTTTTTTTTTTTGAGATTTGAAGAGGATGTTACAAATCTTTTAACTTTAAAATATTTTGATAAGCAGGCGGTCTAGAGCAAAAGTGTTAGGTGGCTATTTTGCCATTTGATTATTCGGCGTGATGATGATGATTCTCAATGCCAAGAATAGGAGAAATGCTATGCATTACTTTAATTTTTTATTACTTCTTGCCATCGATTCTACTACTATCCATCTGTTGGTATGAAAATAATAATAAGCACAAGAAATACTCAAATTAGTTTCATCTAAATTACCAAATGCAATTTGATCTCTTATATATGCTAAATCAATTATTTTGAATGTATCAATATAAGGATGAAATATTATTAATTTATATCTTTACAGAGTTCAAATTTAGTTCACTTTTTTAAACCATGTTGAATTTAATTATAACTGAAACCAATAAATGTTAAAGATCATTAAATGAAGAGGGAAACTTCACAAAGTAATTTAGTTAAATGTTAAATTATATAATTATTTTTTTAGCGGATAAAACATTTTAACAAATTATTAGTATGTTCCAAAACTGTTGTACAGTTGAATTCATTTAAAAATCAAAGAGGCTGGAAAAAATAAAGAATTTTAAAATATTATCATAATTTTTAACTTTTATGGAACATTAATGGTGAGGGTATTTTTTTCACATATCGCACATTTGAATCCATTCTCTCAATATTCCATCTCATAGGTACACAATGAGGATTTATATTAACCTGGTAGTAAGCAAATAACCTGTTAAATTTACATCATATTAAACTATTATATACATTTATATGATAGTTGTCTAAGCAAAGGGGATTTCGATTTGCCATTTTATTCATAATTAATATTAAAGAATATTACTAAGCAATGAACATCTATCACTTCAATTTAGATTTATTATTATAGGAAAATGAACAATAATTATTGTATTTTAGCTATATTCTAATTTATGAGAACAATAAAACTGTCATAACCAATTGAAATATGAAAAGGTCATATACAAATGACCATGCATTAAATGATGGCAACCAAAACAACTCACAAAATCAACAATTTCTCCTAAACATAACATGTAATTCCTACTATATTACTAATTACCCTTGACCCCAATTATCCCGATAGCCTCAATCAATCATCAATCATTTGATTTCAAAGAGTTTTTTGAGTTCAGCATTAAGAATGATCAATAATGGGAGGGTTTGCAAGTGCAAGCAAACCGAAGGAGATTGATTTTCCCTAAGAGCAATCACAACAATAGCCATATTAATAAAGCCCATTTGGTTGATATTTCCGAACCCAAAAACAAAGCTATTGATGTTGAACCTGAACAAAAATCTGAAGTGAAGTTTATGTAAATAAGTTTACATGAAATATTAAATTACATGATCTTTGAATTTCATGAATTTTACATGTTATAAAACAATAATAAACTGTTAATTAGAAAAGATATACCTTAAGCCTTGATACTAGTTGATGATGATTTATGTAATTAAGAATACTGGTTTCTCTCTCCTTTCCTCTCTTTAATTTTCCAGAATTTGTTTTGCTAATTGATGTAGAAAATACGTTCTGACTTTCTTTAGTAGGTAGAGAGAGGACCAAGTTTCTAGGAAATAAACTTCTCTCAAATACACATTCCATCAACACGTGTAATTGTTAAATTTAATAATTGGATAATAATCAATTTATTATTAAATCATAATAATATTATTTATATATTAATGGGCCACATATAATTTAATGACATATATGCATGGGCCACATATAATTTTATCTTACATTCTCTCACTTGGCCTATGTCACAGAATAAATCTTCATGGTTTAATAAATAAAACATAACGCGCATACTATAATACCTCAAATATTGGTCAGATCATAATGCCATTATTAAGTATAGACTAATAAGAGTCATGGCGGTTCCATGTCTTTAAATCAACATAGTCCCTTCCAATTAGAACCCAGTATTAGCTTTCTACTTAACACGACCTATAAGTAAAAAATACATAACGGTCCACTATAATGTCTCTAGTAGAGACCAAACCTTGTCAAATCATGTAAAGTAATTTATGTATATACAAATAATAATATGAACAGGATATCCGTAAATATAAAAAAACAACAACACATAATTAAGCTCCAAATGTCAATTACATCATAATCTTATAAAGTCATTAAAATTTCTTAATAATGCCCATCCTATCGACATGTCCAATAAATGTCTTAGGAGTTAATCCCTTAGTCAACAGATTTGCAATCATGAGATTTGTGCTAATATGTCCAATTGTCACCTTTTGTTTATGAACTTCTTCTTTAACAGCAAGGTATTTCAATTCCATATGTTTAGCACCCTTGGAATACCTGTCGTTTTGGGAGAAGAAGACTGCTGCAGAATTATCACAATAAATCTTTAGCGGCTTGGCAATACTATCAACTATTCCAAGTCTTGAATAAAGTTCTATAACCAATTCCCTTGAATGTGGCCTCAAAACAAGTCACAAACTCAACTTCCATAGTGGATGTAGCAATAATAGACTGCTTCGCACTCTTCCATGATGTAGCTCCTCTAGCTAAAAGGAACAAATAGACAAATGTGAATTTTCTTGTATCAACACACCTAGCAAAATATGAATTTGAATATCCAATCACCTCGAGATGATCAGATCTCCTATAAGTAAGCATGTGATCTTTTGTTCCTTGCAAGTACCTCAAAACTTTCTTCGTAGCCTTCCAGTGGTCCATCCCTAGATTACTTTGATATCGGCTGAGCATTCCAATGGCAAAACTGGTGTCTGGCCTCGTATAAGTCTCTGCGTACGTTAAGGTCCCAACTACTAATGCATATGGAATCCCTTCCATTTGTTTGCATTCCAATTCATTTCTTGGACATTGCATAAGGCTTAATTTTTTTTGCTTTCTGAATTAGAACAACACTTGATGAGCACTTTTCCACTCTGAATATTTGTAAAACTTTATTAATGTATGCTTTCTGAGACAACCCTAATGGTCCTTATGATCTATCTGAGAATATTTCTATCCCAATCATATAAGATGCCTCTCCCATATCTTTCATTTCAAAGTTCTTAGAAATAAATTTCTTGGTCTCATGTAATAAGCCAAGATTATTAGTAGGCAGCAAGATGTCATCAACATACAAAACTAAAATTATAAACTTACTCCCACTGAATTTTAGATATATACACTGATCAACAACGGTTTCCTTAAATCCAAAAGAAGTAAGATGGTATTAGTAAGCTTAAGATACCATTGGCGGGAAGCTTGTTTAAGTCTGTATATTGACTTCTTAACACTCAGGTTGATCCATATAAACCTCTTCTTCTAAATTCCCATTCAAAAATGTAATTTTCACATCCATTTAGTACAACTCTAAATCATAATAAGCTACTAAAGCCATAATAATTCTAAACGAGTCTTTCTTAGAAACGGGTGAAAAAGATTCCTTATAGTCAATACCATCTCATTGTGTAAAACCCTTGGCAACAAGTTTGGCCTTGTGTGTTAGAGTAGGTGCCCTAGAACCAATCAATTATTGTAGAATTGACTCTTTGTAATAATGTTCATTGATCAATAAAAGGCATTTTATTCTATATCGTGTAAATCATATTGTATGAATTGATAAATGTCCTTAGGATGGTAGAACCGTGACGAGGATATCAAGTGTTTCAGATCTTGATAGTGAGAACCCTATGATCACTAATGGTGGCCATTCTAGAAATATCTGTAGCCCCAGTATTATTCTGACCAAGGGCACAGATAATACGGTAACACTATCATAGTGTTGAATGACCCTGTCGAAAGGCAGTGACTGATCTCACTTATCAAAGTTCTTTGTCGACAACCTGGTGCAACACATGGGTGCTTGTTGTAGGCAAGTTCACTAGAATGACCCACTAGAGGATTCCATATAGATGGTAACCCCAGTGTCTATGGAACAAATCCTCTAGCGAATGGTGGTGCATGTGATCCTTAGACTTGAGATCACCAGAGCACCTTATGCACCGATTGGTATAGTTTGACACTAGCCCAACGCAGTTCTATTCAGAGCTATCAATACAGTAATGATTGGCTACATCGAGGAGTCTATCAAGACTATGGTGGATTGACAGAGGATTCATCACTCCCGGGTACGGGAAAAGTAATCTCACTGTGCAATTCAGTATATGACAATGACACTAAAGTTGTGGCCACAGTGGGATTGAGTTATTACTCAATCTAATTTATTATTTTTGTCATTGGTCCAATAACTAAATACAAACATATCGAGAGTAACTGAGGCTGACACTATTTCTATACCTCGGTCTCGATGAGATAACAAATGATAAAAGGATTTGATTGCATGGTAACCATATCGTTGACAGGTAGCTATTTTGCTGAATCCGAATCTATTAGGTGGCCATAATGCCTTGCTAGGGGTCAATCTTGGTCTGTGTATAGTGAGACGATTAATTGGTGTTAATCGCGATACTACTCAATACCAGTATGATGAGGAGCCTACTGGTCACACACATAAAAGATAATTTAAGAATCATTTTGTGCAAGGGGTATTTTCATCTTTTAGGACGAAAAAGTATTTTGGTAATCTTACAGTGCAATTAGATTTGCTGAGGTTGTTGCCTAGATTTAATGTTAAATCAAATCAGTGAGATTATATCTAAAATATATGTATGCATATGTTTAAATGAATTATTATTAATTAAATGTTAATACATTTTATAAATGTATTAACTGATTTTAAATATAATAATTAATTAAAAGAAAATACCAAAAGGAGAGTGTTTGGACACATGGGTTAATTTGGGTTGGAGCCCAATCCTATTCCTAAAAGAATTAGGGTTTTGACACATGCACTATATAAGTGCATGTGTATTGAAAGAAAAAAAAAAACAGTGTGAGTGAATTCATTTTTCATTCATTGAAAGGAAAAAAGAGGCAACCCTTTCTCTCCCCTTCTCTCCCTCACGTTTTCCCTTGTTCTTGAATCAAAGATTTTCCTTGATTCAAGTTGATTCTTGAAGCCAACAGAGGATCTAGCAAATCCCTCTTTGGTTCTTTGGATTGTCTTCGTGTGGATCACCGTTCGTTTGGTTCTACGTTGAATCGACAACGAAGTAGATTCAGAGACATTTGAAGGAGCCTTGTTAAAGTTATGAAAGTTACTCTATTTTGATGATAAAAAGACCCCTTGTGCTATTAAATTGAAGTTATAATGAGACAATTGAAGAAATTATGAAATTATTAATGGAAAATCACTTTTTAATTTTTCTTTACAATTTGTGCATGTTTGGAATGAATTTTGAGATTTTGTAAATTGATATTAGGGTGTGATTTGTTCATTATAGTTGGTTTGTCTCATTTACGCTATTCAGGGGTCAAATTGTCATAAACAATTGGGATTGATTTTGGCGCCGTTGCCAAGGAGCAACGTGCTTTTGACTTAGTGTGTTTGGGTTTGTAAATACTTTAAGTCTAATTTTTCTACATTCTTTAATTGTCATTAGGACAGTTTCATTCGTGTTTGTTTTTATTTTACAGGAAGGTTGCAATTGGAAAAACACTGCAGTGTGTCGTGTGAAACAAAGTTTTTGCGTGACCCGATTGTGATATTTTCTAATCTTTTTAGCTTTAGTTCTTTTTAGTTCTTGTCAATTGTGTGTGTGATGTTTGCATGTTTTCGTGTTTATTTAGTTTGCATGTTTGTATTAGTTTTGCATATTTTTTTTTATTCATAGAATTTAGTTTTTGAATTAGTAATAATTTCTTTTTGTTTGACTGTTAGTTTTAGTTTGTTGATTGTGTGGATTTTTTTAAGGATGATATCATATTTAATTTTATTTTTCTTTATGTGTGTTTTTTGAATTTGCTTTTCATTCTTTTTCTTTTTCTTTGAATTTTGTGTTGTGGTTGTTGGTGGAACCTTTGGTGTATTTGTTGATGAATGCTTGGTAGATAGTCGTATCAACCAATTTTAGTACCCTTGGATCTAAAATAGCAAGCACATAGGATGGATTATAACCTTTATTCCATGCACAACCATATAGCTTCTAGGATTCCTATCATAGGGAAGCCGCCTAGGAATGGTGGCACTTAGGACAAGTTCATATCCATGCAAGGGCAAGCTTCTAGGCAACCACGTTCATATCCATGCAAGGGCAAGCTTCTAGGCAACCACGTTCATATCCATGCAAGGGCAAGCTTCTAGGCAACCACCAACCATTAGGACAAGTCAGGATGTTTATGTTATGCCTTTAGACCATTTAGCGATTGAGTACACATTTGATGAACCAACTTCCAACACTTTTGAGGAGCAAGTGCAAGTTGCACAAGATTTCCAAAGACAGAATGATCCGTACTCGAACACATTTGATAGTGAGCGGCATAACCATCATAATTTTGCATGGAAGCAAGAACAATCTCAAAATATCTCCCATAATATGCCATATAGTTCTTCCAATCAACAGGGCAATTATTGGGAAATGTTTTCGGTCCAACCACCCGCCCAACCTAGGATTCCACCCCTCCAATCCAGTAACCCACTCTAATGCCCGGTTCACTGGAATCAATGATGGCTCAGATGCTCCAAACCATGCAAGAACAAAAAGATGACATGAATGCTAGGTTCAATGACTTAGAGTATCATTATCAGATAATACACTCCCATTCCCAATCTATTAGTAAGCTAGAGACCCAAATTGGTCGAATAGCTGAAACGGTTAATAGGAGAAAAGAATGTCATTTGTCGAGTCAAGTTGTAGGTAATCCCAATGGTGCACCTCACCAGATGGGGTGTCATGAACAAGCTAGGCTTGAGAGGGAATTATATGCTGAGTTTGGAGAGAGAGAGAGCCTAGAGAGGAACCAAGCCGAAAGGAGTGAAAGAGAACCAACCATAGAATTAAGTGTGCCGAGACATGAAAATGAGTAAGTTGGGGAGAAAGAACCATCTCTTGCATCTGACATGCCAATAGAACCTTTTCCTCAATACCTAGAATTGCATAATGCATCCAACTTTAAGAAAATCACTAGGATGGAGGAAATGGTTGAGCTATTTAGACAATTAGGGTTGATTGGTATTCCACTTCTAGATGCCATTAAGCACATACCTGCCTATGCTAAGTTCTTAAAAGATTTGTGCACATGGAAATGGTGTATTAAGTTTAAATATGCCTTCTTGGGACCTCATGAGATCCTACTTGTTGCCAAATGGCGAGGGTCATGTAAGGTGTCACCAACATTTCAACCCCCTTGAACTTTTATTTTTGCATTTAGTCTGGCTGAAGACTTAAAACTTAGCGCTTGTGGGAGGCAACCCACCTTTTTAAATGCTTCTTTATTACTTTTTTTTTCTTGCTTTTGTTTTTGCAGGAATTGTTATGTTTGGAAACTCATTAACTAGTCAAAGGCTACGCTTAAGCATGCTCCACAAACCTCACTAGTGACAACTCCATCATTGTCCCTCAGGTTGTATCTTTCCAACTTTTATATTGATATTATTAAATATGTTCTCATGTGTTGGATTATTTTAATGGTTATTGATTTTATTCTATTTGAGATCATTTGATGCTAAGTTGGGGAGAATGTTTGTAGTTGTGAGTTATTGAGGACAATGACATTTTAAGTTGGGGACTGTGTTGATTGATTTTTATTTTTGTAGAGTATGTATGTTGTTGAGGAGTGTTGCGGATGAGCTATTGTGGTGTGTTGTGTTGTTGAGGAGGCATGTTTTGAGAAGTGATGTTGATCATATTTTTGTGGAGATCGTGTTGATCATGCTTTTGTGGAGATTGTGTGTTGAATGGATTATACTTAAATTTTTGTGGCATGATATTTTTTTTTTTTTT